CTTTGGGTCCTCTGGCCTAGTCTATTAGGGCAGGAAAGGAGACTTTAAATTAAGTTTTCATGACGTTTTGAAAAGGACGGAAACTGTCAGGGAGAAAGCGCCTAGTCATGATGACAATACAGTATAGCACTGGGAAGGGGGCAGGATAAAGTTTTGGAATGGGACTTGGAATGGTGCCCAACCACTTGGAAGGTTGGGGATTGAACGCCAACCTGCATGAAGCGAGACTGTCGCTCTACCGTCCAACCCAAGTGATTGGTGACGTTTTGAAAGCTTAGGAGAACTTACTGCCCTCCTAACCTACCAGAGGACCCAAAACTTGCTGTTTTGGGTCCATTTCATTTAGAAAATAATTTTAAATTTTCTAGTACAGTACGATAATTTTTGGCCGTAGCGCATATGAGCGAAAGGCAATGTTATTTGTAAGAGGATGGGTTGGAGCCAGGCTTTTCTGTATGATTAAGTTGCCCCCTTAGTGTCTGTATGGTTATTCCAGGGTCGGCCGCCTTTGACTTGGAGATGTGTGCAACTAGTCTCAGGATCTTGACTTGGAGCAGCTGGTGGTGTCTACCTACTCCATGTTTGCTATTCATATCCCTCCTAGGGCCCAGCTGCTGCTGTTCAGTGGACCCAGGTACATCTCCCTTTAATCCCAACTTCAAAATTTATGAGTATTTTGGAGTATTACGTGTATGATCCTTTAGGTGAGCTTTGGCCAAGCTCTCACAAAGTCAGGCCTAGCTTCGGGCCAGGCTTGGGGAGTAGAACTCCCAGAACCCCATCAAGCAGATATCAAGAAGATATCAAGCAGGCCTTCTTTAGGGACAGTCTCTTGCTTCAGTGGCAGAGGTAGTTGAGCTGCTGCTTTCTACTCAAGATCGACTGCTTTCTTGTTTGAGGGAGGTATTGCAGATCCTTCCCTGTGGGGATACGTTTGCTGTCTACTATGTCTGGCAAGGAACTCTGCTCTGCCTTGATGCCTTCGTTCCTGCGAGGCTACGAGGCAATTCAAGGTGGGTTGCTGGGTGTCTTTTCACCCTGATTGATCATTAGTTCTCTCTGAAGAGAAGTATTCACTTAAGGTGAAGGGTTTGTCATATTTATCCTCTTTGAGATGGATTCCTTGGGGGTTTTCCCGAATGTGTGCTTGAGTTTTATTAGATTCCAAAAGCATCTTGTATGCAGATTTTTCTGAATACCCATCTTTTCTCCCCAGTGGTGTAATACCCATATTTTCTCCCCAGTGGTGTAATACCCATCTTTTCCCCTCAGTGTTGTAATACTCATCTTTTCTCCCCAGTGTTGTAATACCCATCTTTTCTCCCCAGTGGTGTAATACCCATCTTTTCTCCCCAGTGGTGTAATACCCATCTTTTCCCCTCAGTGTTGTAATACTCATCTTTTCTCCCCAGTGTTGTAATACCCATCTTTTCTCCCCAGTGTTGTAATACCCATCTTTTCTCCCCAGTGGTGTAATACCCATCTTTTCTCCCCAGTGGTGTAATACCCATCTTTTCTCCCCAGTAGTGTAATACCCATCTTTTCTCCTCAGTGGTGTAATGCCCATCTTTTCTCCTCAGTGGTGTAATGCCCATCTTTTCTCCTGAGTGGTGTAATACCCATCTTTTCCCCTCAGTGGTGTAATACCCATCGTTTCTCCTCAGTGGTGTAATACCCATCGTTTCTCCTCAGTGGTGTAATACCCATCGTTTCTCCCCAGTGGTGTAATACCCATTCTTCAGTTCGTCCTTCAGGATCAGGCCCTCACATATGATGGATCTGATATTCTCAATAAAACATCACTAGAAAGTATAGTCCTTAACTAATTGGAGGTATTTACCATCGACTTTTTATTTTGGGTAAGCACACAGAGGCTAATTGATGACTAAATGAAATGTAATACTGTACTGTACCTTAAAGAGCGATTGGTATAACATATCACTGTTCTCACTACCAAAATAGTGCAATCTGCAAAACTCTTCTAAATTGTTCATTAAATCTTATTATTAAATATCTGATAAGATTTCTAAATCAATGAAGGCTGACCAGTGTTCTACATTTAGGTAACTGGGGTGACAGTACTGTAACTGTGTGTCCATTGTGAAGAAATACAAGATGGTTCTCTGAATTTTCATGTGTGAATTTTCATTTTCATATAATCAAGTTCAGTTTTGCTTTCTTATCTGGGTGCACATATTCTGGTGTGCTAATTAGTGTGTACTTAACTAGTTGTACTGGCGGGGGTTGAGCTCTGGCTCTTTGGTCCTGCTTCTCAACTGTCAATTAACTGATGTACAGGTTCCTGTGCCTACTGGGCTCTATCATATCTTCACTTGAAGCTGTGTATGAAGTCAGCTTCCACCACATACATCACTTCCTAATACATTCCATTTGTCTACTACTCTGACACTGAAAAAATTCTTTCTAACGTCTCTATGGCTCATTTGGGCACTCGATATCCACCTGTGTCCCCTAGTGCATGTGCCCCTTGTGTTAGATAGTCTGTCTTTATCTACCCTATAAATTCCTTTGAGAATCTTGTATGTGGTGATCATGTCCCCTCTAACTCTTCAGTCTCCCAGTGATATGAGGTTTAATTCCCTTAGTATCTCCTCGTAGCTCATACCCCTCAGTTCAGGTACTAGTCTGGTGGCAAAATTTTGAACCTTTTCCAGTTTAGTTTTATGCTTGACTAGATATGTACTCCATTCTGGAGCCGCATACTCCAGGATTGGTCTGACATATGTTGTATACAAAGTTCTGAAAGATTCCTTACACAAGTTTCTAAAGGCCGTTCTTATGTTAGCCAACCTGGCATATGCTTCTGATGTTATCCTTTTGATATGAGCTTCAGGGGACAGGTCTGGCATGATATTAACCCCCAGGTCTTTTTTTCTCTCTGACTCTTGAATTATTTCATCTCCCAAATGATACCTTGTATCTATTCTTATGCTCCCAACACCTATCTTCATTACATTACATTACATTTGCTTGGGTTAAACTTTAACAACCATTTGTTCGACCATTCCTGCAGCTTGTCCAGATTTTCTTGAAGCCTCAAGCTGTCCTCCTCTGTCTTAATCCTTCTCATAATTTTGGTGTCGTCAGCAAACATTGAGAGGAATGAGTCTATACCCTCTGGGAGATCATTTATGTATACCTGTATCAGAAACTGTTTTCTATTGCTTAGGTACTCCCTTATCCACTGAAGTGCCCTACCAGTTACTCCTGCCTGTTTCTCCAGCTTATGCATCAGCCTTTTATGGGGTACTGTGTCAATGACTTTCCGACAGTTCAAAAAAATGCAGTTCGCCCATCCTTCTCTTTCTTGCTTAATCTTTGTCACCTGATCGTAGAATTCTATTAAGCTGTAAGGCAAGATTTAGCCTCCCTGAACACATGTTGATGGGATGTCACAAACTCCCTTCTCTCCAGATGTGTTATTAGGTTTTTCTCACGATCTTCTCCATCACCTTGCATGGTATACAAGTTAAGGACACTGGCCTGTAGTTCAGTGCCTCTCGTCTGTCACCCTTTTTGTATATTGGGACTACATTAGCCATCTTCCATATTTCTGGTAGGTCTCCCGTTTCCAGTGACCTACTGTACACTATGGAGAGTGGCAAGCAAAGTGCTCCTGCACACTCTTTCAATACTCATAGTGAGATTGCATCCAGGCCAACAGCTTCTCTCACATCCAGATCCAACAGGTGGCTCTAGACCTCATCTCGTGCAATTTCGAACCCTAACAAGGCCGCATGGTTTACTGCCACCTCTCCTAGTGCAGTAACCTCTCCTAGTTTTATTGTGAAGACCTCCTGGAACCTCTTGTTGAGTTCTTCACACACCTCTTTGTCATTCTATGTGTACCTGTCCTCACCCATTCTATGATTCATCACCTGTCCCTTCACTGTTGTTTTCCTCCTGATGTGACTGTGTAGTAGCTTTGGTTCGGTCTTGGCTTTATTAGCTATATCATTTTCATACATTTTCTCAGCTTCTCTTCTCACACTAACATACTCGTTGCTGGGTCTCTTGTATCTCTCTGCTTTCTGGTGTTCTGTTATTTTGGAAGTTCCTCCACGCCCTTTTGTTTAGTTCCCTTGCTTTCATACATCCCCTATTAAACCACAGATTCTTCTTTTGCTTCTCGTTTTCTTTTGTCACGCCAGGATAAACCTGTTTACTGCCTCCTGACATTTTTGGGTGACATAGTCAATCATGTCTTGTACAGGCTTAGTTGAGTTCTGTGTCCCATGGTATATCCTTTAGGAATTTTCTCATCTCATAATTTCCCTTTTGGTATGCCAGCCCTTTGTTTCCCAGTTCTCTCTTTTGGGTAGGTAATTCCTAGCTCTACCAGGTACTCAAAGATCAATACACTGTGATCACTCATTCCCAAGGGGGCTTCCAACTTAACTTCCCTTATATCCGATTCATTTAGGGTAAATATCAGATTAAGCATAGCTGGTTCATCCTCTCCTCTCATTCTTGTCGGTCCCTTGATGTGTTGGCTTAGAAAGTTTCTTGTTGCTACGTCCATCAGCTTGGCTCTCCATGTGGGTCTCTGTTCTCCCAATCTATCTTCCCGTGATTGATGTCTCTCATGATTAGTCGTCTGGATCCGTTACTGCTAGCTAGCTACAGAAGTTGCTCTCTCTCTCTCTTATATTGATGGTGGCCATGTTGTTTCTATCATATTCTTGTCTGGGTCTTCTGTCGTTTGGTGGGGGTTATATGTGACTGCAGTACTACTATAATTTTTTGTCCTCCAGTTGCTATGGTACCTGTTATGTAGTTGCTGAAATCTTCACAGCCCTGAATAATCATCTCTTCAAAACTCCAGCCTTTTCTTATCAGCAAAGCTACACCACCACCTCCTCTCCCTTCTCTCCCTGTGTGTATATGTGTCTTTGTATTCATTGTTACTGTAAATGTGAAGTGAGACTGAACATACAGACTGATAGCTATGTGACCCCCAGTTTATTCTTTCTTTTCAGTGGTGGCATCAAGTTTGGTGATCTGTCGCAGGATGACGGTTAGTAATTCAGTAATCTAATACATTCACCTTGACTTATGAGTAATGATTTGTTCCCTTGCAATGTCATTAGTGTGTATATTTTGTATCACAGTATAGCAAATTTTGTTGCTGAAAAATACTTTTATATGTAGTCTATAGGCAGTTGAATAATCATCATCTTGTGACCCAATTTTACAGCTGTTGCCTTCCAAGAGAATCTCCTCAAATCTATGATGCAGATTGAGAACACCTTCTTCAGTCTGGCAGAGACATGTAGGAAGAACTGCCTGGTGATCTGTGACCGTGGAACCATGGATGCATCTGCATGTTAGTACACTACATACCTTCGCTTCTATTGTTATTGTTAAGGCCAGGGTCCCAACACTAACCATAGCAGTCTGGCTCTTATGGAAATTTAAAAAATTATTCCTACAAGTTTTGGATTACTATATTGCCAAGTTATTTTAATATTGTTATGCTTTCATATCTGTAAAGTAGAATTTATAAGGTTAGAGTGCATTGTAAGTACAAGTGCTGTGTCAGTAGCATGCATTGTCAGTGGTTAAGACTGAATGTAACAGTGTAACTACAAGTGCTGTGTCAGTAGCATGCATTGTCAGTGGTTAAGACTGAATGTAACAGTGTAAGTACAAGTGCTGTGTCAGTAGCATGCATTGTCAGTGGTTAAGACTGAATGTAACATATGAAGACATAAATTACTAATCATTTGCATGATAATATTACTGTAGTAATGAAGTTTCAGTACATGACTTTGAAACATTATTATAGAGGAAAAGTTAGACATCAAGCAATACTAATAACACGGTATATTATGAACAGTCATCCCAGAGGAGCGATGGGAGGGGATCATGAAGAGCAATGAGTGGAACCCTGTGGATCTGCGGGACACGAGGTATAACCAGATCATCCACATGGTGTCCGCTGCCAATGGAGCCGAAGCTTTCTACACCACTGAGGTACTGGTTCTATCCCATACACCACAAACCCTTGCATGTACGTACTAGCTGATTTTCTTGATCTTTCTCCTTGTTTATTTCAGATTATATTTATCATGTTACTGGATAGGTATGTATATACCGGGTACAGGTATTAATTTGCTGTACACATTTTCTTTATCAATTATCATACTAAAGGTAATTGACTGCAATGTTCATATCTAGATATATGACGACAATTATCATGTTTGGATAATTGTTGTATGGTTCTTTGCTGTTGCTTCTGAGTTCAATTGCTATTTGTGCTTGTGTACTTTTGCTTGCTATACAGCTAGTTGTCATCCCTTCACTAGTATTCTTGTCCACATTTAATTGAACTTAATTTCTTGGTGTAAATGACTGCTGTCTCATTGGATGGTGAGATGAGTAAAGAAGGAATTAGTTGGAAGCTTTAACCTCTTTCCAGTTGTTACTTACTTAGGCTAGGTACAGTTCTCAAAATTATTAATGTCGGTATTGAACAAGCTATACATATGCTTACTTATTATAATTTGCCTTTTATGCCTATTGTTTCACTTTCTGCTTCATTGGGAGTCCAGAGGATAAGTCTTATGTGGACCAGTTATATCTGCTGTCTCACGTGGGCCAGTTAGGCCCGCGGCCTCACGTGGGCCAGTTAGGCCCGCGGCCTCACGTGGGCCAGTTAGGCCCGCGGCCTCACGTGGGCCAGTTAGGCCCGCCGCCTCACGTGGGCCAGTTAGGCCCGCGGCCTCACGTGGGCCAGTTAGGCCCGCGGCCTCACGTCCTATTAACTATGATTTCCAAAAATATTTTCATTCATGTAATTACAGTATTATTTGATCTTTTACTTTGGCTTGGACAGTATTATGGAAGATATTTATTTGGTAACTAAAGTAATGTGACTTTGTCAAATCTTCTGCAAAATAGAGTAGCTTGCAAAGCTTCCTGCAAGGTAGAGTGGCTTTGCAAATATTTGTATAAGCAATTCAACCTTGTAGAAGCTTGTCCCTAAATTCAATAAGGGTTTGAAAGATTCTCCTTTTCTTAAACTGATGTGAAACACACACTCAAAGTTTGTGATATCATTTTGTGTGTGTGCTTCTTCATCATGTCTTCCAAGTGTTTGATTTTCCAAGACAATACTAGTTTCATTTTGACTTTCATGGTTGTGTTGATTTAGTTTTTACGATACTGTACAGTGGAACCCCACCCAAACTGAAGGTTAAAAAACCGGACTACTCAGAAGAGTACATCTTCACTAAAGTTTTAATGGTTGAATTTGTGAGAGTTTTGCAGCACAGTCCATTGTCCAGCAATCACACAACTCCTTTCAATCACAAATCTTAATACTTGTATTTACCTTTGTTTTCAATCTTGGAACTTACAAGAAACACTTCTGCTTCTCCTGGACTTTGACTGAACCGAAGGTCGTTTAAGTTGGGTTCCACTAGTGTTATTTTCCCACTTTTATTCATCCATTTACCTTCCTACACATCAATGCTAACTTTGCATTTCTTAAATTTATATGATGCTTTATTTGCCATGAATTGTGTGTTCTGTAATGCAGCATGTCATATAAGACCCCTCAAGACAAGTTTGAGTGTAAGGCTTGAGTTTTAATGAAGCATATATCTTACAGTGTTGAACTAAATATTTGTACTGTATTGAGAATTTGTTGTTTACGTGTTTGTGTTGACATGAAGTATGCTCGTAACTGTTCCGTTACCGTTTTGTCCATGAAGGATATTTTTACCATTGTAGATGGTTATTTGGAAGTAAATATAGTTACCATAGATTTACACATTAATTTTAGTTGTGTACAACATAAAGAAAGTTTGCCACTTATCAATGCAATAGATTCATGTTAGTTTGAGAAAGATGTACTTCAATACCAGAGAGTTGGTGCCTAGGAATTGTACCACATGCCATCTAAGGAAAATTATTTTATATTGACTAACTATTCTTTCATAGGTAAAAAAATCTTTACATGTACAGGCGTCTTTATAATACTGTACTTGTTATTAGAATCTTAAACTAGCCCCCACCTGTTATTGATATTTGCCAGTCCAGTACTGTATGGTACACATACCATATTTCCTTCTCTTTCTTCACCCACCACACTTGTCTCTTATTACAGAAGAATTGGTAAGGTATAAAAAAAATAATCATTCATTAAGGGTGAACCAGAATTGAGCTAAACATAAGGCAGCAGTGCTGAGGAATGTAGGAAAATTACTAAGGAATGAGGATGGAAAACCCTGGTCATTAAGATGAGACCTATTAAAGGAAGACAGAGAGAAGCTGAAATGGAATCTTTGTTAAGCAGCAAGAATAAGGAGCCTTACAAATAGGGAACCTCAGATACATGGGAAAAATCAAACATAGTTTCAGTCTACAAAAATGGTAACATGGAAGAACCTCTAAATTATAGATGCATATTGTTGACAAGCGTGGTAGTCAAAACACTAGAGAAAATAATTCAAGCCAAATGGGTAGAATACCTGGAGAGACATTACATAATAACAGTCAGTATGACTGAATTTCATACTGGAATGCTCTGTACTCACCTAGTTGTGCTTGTGGGGGTTGAGCTTTGGCTCTTTGGTCCTGCCTCTCAACTGTCAATCTACTGATGTACAGATTCCTGAGCCTACTGGGCTCTGTCATATCTACTTTTGAAACTGTGTATGGAGTCAGCCTCCACCACATCACTTCCTAGTGCATTCCATTTACTAACTACTCTGACACTGAAAAAATTCTTTCTAACATCTCTGTGTAACAGATCTACAGTACTTTTCACTTTTATGATAGAGCCACAGAGATCTTACAGGAAAGAGATGGTTAGGTTACTAGCAAGAGTACCACATGATTCAGTTCCAGTACCAGTAATGTTCATTGTCTATATAAACAAACTATGAGAGGGGAATCATAGTTATATGAATGTGTTTGCATCTGATGCAAGTATACTGGGCAAGTATATTACTGTACCCTTCAAAAGGATCTAGTAAAAAACAGTTAAAAGGGAGCAACATATAACAGATGGAATTCACTAAGTAAATGCCACATAATGGAATGTAGAATGGGGAAACACTCTTCAAGTAACCCATAAATTATGTAAAAGATATTGTAGAACTCGAAGAAATAGACTTACAAAATAGATCTTACTTACAAAATAGATCTTGTAAGTAAACTTATCAGAGGATTATATCAATGGTATTGTGAGAGGAGCCTATGCTACACCTGCAAATTTCTGAACCACTTTAATTTATGGATTGAGTAATATTAAAGAACTTGTTCATGACATTTGTGAGAAGGAAATTAAAATGTACAGCAGTGGTGTGGTTTCCATTTCTCAAGAAACACATCAGTAAACTAGAAAGGATGCAAAGACATGCTACTAAATGACTTCCAGAAATTTAAAAAAAAATGAGCTTTGAGGAGAGAGGATTAGCATATTGACCAAACTACACACTAGAAAGTGAAGGGACGACGACGTTTCGGTCCGTCCTGGATCATTCTCAAGTCGATTGTGAGAATGGTCCAGGACGGACCGAAACGTCGTCGTCCCTTCACTTTCTAGTGTATGGTTTGGTCAACATTTTTCAGCCACGTTATTGTAACTCCAAGTCTGCAGAGGATTAGCATAGTTAAATATGGTAAAGCTAGTAGATAGAAGGAAAAGAGGCGATATGATAACCATGTACAAAGTCGTGACAGGAAGATTTTTTTTAAACCTGCTACTTCAAGAACACAAGACCACAGATTGAAGCTAAGGAAACAAATGTGCTGAAGAAATATATGAACGCTCTCTTTTTGTGAACTGAGTTTTTTGTGAACTGATTGATTTAATTGAGAAAGTGGTGGATGCCATGACCATCAGTATTTTCAAAGCATCATATGACAAAGATTATAAAGAAAGTGGGACACTATAAACATAGCTCTCATCCTGTGATCACACTTGGACAATTACACATGTACACGCATGTGCACTCATTGTATCTATGTTTGTACCATACTTTTGTTGACTTGGTGCTTTTGTTCTCTACCATATATTTATGTATCTTATCAGTCCTTCCTGGGACATTTTGCACACATGACAACTAAAGGTGACTGGCTTACTTTTATCACTTCAACCAATATGCAGAATTCAGTCAATAGTTTGGCCAATGTTTTTAAAAGATTAATAATGTTTTGTGAGAAAGGTAGTGTTACCCTTACCACCATAGTTTGCTGCATCTACCGTTAATTGTTTTTAACAGATTACAAGTATGAAATTGTGAAGTATGTACTGTAAAGTACTTTTATAATCAAACAAAACTGAACATGAAACTTTGTGCTATTTATTTTACTATAAATTTTGTACCTAATTACATTAACAAGTGTTTCTTTAATGCCACCCTTCAGGACCATGCCTGCCGTAGTGAGAACATCGAGCTGGCTCGTCAGTTGGATAACAGGGCTGCAGAGGCATGGGTTGGTCACCCCTATTTCGATGTCATTGATAATTCCTCCGAGTTTGATACAAAGGTTTGTTTGGCATGGTATTTAGTGCTATTTGTCATGGGAATAAGAAAGTACCGGTGCGAGTTAGTAAAACTTGATGCAGATGGCTGTTGCTGAACCCATCATCACAACAAATGGCTGTTGGGTTTGTAATGTGTATTAACACAATGTGGTCTGTGCCGGTCAGTAATAGTCTCTGTTTTGTACATTTGTTATTACTCAATATATATGATTCCTCCAGTCACTTGGTTGGTAGATGTACAAGTCAAATACACAGTAGTATTATTAATGTTGGTGATAGTCAGTATATGTACTATATGTACTATTTTAGATGAGTTTCTTATTGTGATACATCTGTGGATTACATTAGTAGTGAGGTGATCACGTTTATGCTATATTTTCTTAATATTTGTATACGTGTATAAAAGAAATTATGACTGGAACACGTTCAACATTTGTCATTATTGTTGTGCACTTTCCCTCTTAAGAGTATTGTAAGGTCATGAGAGGTAAAGCTGAATGAATTAAAAAACATTACTCCAAATTTTAAGATTCTCATAATCCATCCTATAATTTTCCTGGCTGACATTAAATTTGCTTTGATGTGTTAATTAATCATTAGGTCATCAAACATTATTTCCATATCTTTTACATATTATTTTCATTCTATGAGCTTTGATTACATCCTTTCTTGTACACTGTTTGAGCTCTTAATTTTAATTAAATATAATTCATTGTGTCGGGGGACAGGAAGCCAGGTTATACATATAGTACATGTTAGGTTTATACTGAGGTCGAATTACTGACCCTGCCCAGGATGCAACCCCACAAGAAGCTGACTAATTCCTGGGAACCTATATACTGCTAGGTGGACAGGAGCATTAGGTGAAAGAAATGCACCCAACCATTTCTGTGCCGCCCGGGATTCGAATGGGAATTTTTTATTGTGACTCAAGAACAAACCCGACTGTACTACCAGGACCCTCCCTAAGTACAGGCAGTTGGAATTTATCACTGTTATACATGTCTGCCATTGCCCAGTGGATGACTTTATTAATATTTGTAGTGTTTCAGTCTTTCTCCAGAGCAATTATCATATTGACTTTCAGCCTCAAATGATGACACAACGGTATAGTTTGTGTCCTTATCAATGTGTTATACGGGGGCGGGAGTGAGTATTGGTTACAGAGTAGGGCCTTGTAATGCACAACCTTTTACTGTGATTGGATCAGATTTTGTTTGGTTTAATGTTACTCTTTGTGATCAATTTGTCTTAACACTTTCTGCGGATGAGGACTCCTCCCGGCGTCCTGTTTCGCCTACCCGCTCCCACATGGTGGACATAAATATATGTCCTCTTTTAAAATATTTGTATAAAATTCAATTTTTATCCGATTTACTTTGGGTTTGTTTCAAACTGCGCACCATGAGGCTCTCTTTCTCACCAATAGGCTGCATGGTACAATAAGTTCATGAAAGGTTCACAAACATAACAAAAGTAAAAACATTTCGTGTGTGTTTGGCTCTCACTGATATGTTCCAGCGTTGTTTTATATTTGGTGCTATTCTATCTTACGCTTTGTTGATCTTTTTTACCTACGGGCTCATAGAACATTCTATTGCGAACACATTGACACAAAAATGAATGACGTACATAGAATAATAATGTCATGAGAGTGAAATAAATATAAACTTTCAAAGCGCCGTGTGTCGTCCCGTCACCGATACCAGGTAACAATTTCACCACTTCCCACACTCTTGCGGGTGGGCCGCAATCATTATTCTATGCTTATATTCATATCACCGTGTTGGGAATTTCATTGCGAGTCCATTGATACCAAAATTAACGCTGTAGGACAAGTGTGGAGGTGATAACAATCCCAAGAGTAAAAACATTTTGTTGCTGTTGGGCGCTCACGGCGAGTCATCTTCGTAGTTATTTATTTGGTGCTGGTATCCCTATACGTTTCGTGACTTTTTTACTGATGTTCTTCTAGAGAATTTTATTGCGAACACGTTGGTACCAAAATGAAATACGTAGCTCAAGAACTAAGGTCAGGAGAGTAAAAAGAGTATACACATTTTTGTTTTTACGCTTACGCGGCAAAACGCCGTGAGCACATACCACTTTCTTTTTTTTACCTTCGCCGGGAGGCTGAAAGTGTTAAAATTGAGTATCCAAAATACTTCTCAGCCTGTTATTTGTTTGGACTTCATTATATGGCCTATCATTCTGGTCACATGTATCAAAAGCCTTCTGGAAATTCTGTATATACAACATTTACATTATGAATTTCATCAATTGATTCTAAGATTTTGTCATAGTGGTTGACAAAAAACCTGCAGAACGAGCAGGCTTCACAGGCAACCATTCTTTATACTGGGGAGATAAAGAAGGATCCTCCCACCCATAGGATGGAGGAACTAAAGATTGGTGTGAGGACGGGACAGACACCTGTATGACAGTGAGGGAGAAGGGAGGCACAGAACCAAGAAAAAGAAGAAAGAAGAAAAGTGTGTGGCTGCAAGTAACCTAACCCTGTCCACCCTAAAGGCAAGGAAACACTAGAAGTGCCTGTGGCTAACTTATTTACTTAACTCTGCCAAGGTGCAACCTCAGGTTGCACCTTGGCAACTCGATAAGCACCTTTGAGGGATATCTGATCAACCAGGCTGTGACTTCTATGTCAGGATGCAAGCAGCCACATCGAACAGCCTGGTTGATCAAACCAACAACCAGGAGGCCTGGTCAGAGACGGGGCTGTGGGGACATGGAGCCCCTTAAATCATCAACATGTAGTCAACAGGTATAGGTACACAGAACAAACCATTAACAATTGCGCAACGTGCCTGCAGGCCCAAGTTTGGGGTGCGCTACGCGCCTCCGGGTATTTGTATTTTTCACGTTCCATTCAAAATTCCCGCAGCTACATGGGGTTCACATCAGCTTCCTCAGAGCTCTTGTAAACAGACGCCATCTTTAAAAAAAAATCGTGGTCCACATTGCCACGTGTGAGAGCCTCAATAGTGAGTGAGCAACTAACGCCAGCGCACACAGCATGAGCTCACAGCACTGCTGTTCAGCTTGTGACCACAGCATCGCCTAATAATGTCAAAATATATATATAACTTGTATTCTTTAGCCATGATTGTATTACAGAAGAGCCTGAGTGTGATAATGACTGTGTACAATGTTCAAATATTAGTGATTCAATGCTGTTCACGATGTTCACAGCACTAGCCACAGCACCACAGCATTATTTCTTCCATCTAGGAATCTTCAAATGACTTATTAGGTTCCGTTACAAAATAAACTTGTGGTCAGTTATGTATTTACAGGATTTAGTGACCAGTATTGTGATAACAGCAGGATTGTAGAGATAATAAGCACTGTGCGTAGTATTGTGGGAGGAGTAATTGTTGTGAGGGAGCGAGGGAGAGAATCATTTGCCTCACTGTGTGGCAGCCACTCTTGTTTTACTCATCATACTAGCTTAGTGGTTTGCTATGGTGAACACATTTGTACATGGGTATATACAATGTGTGTATATAGTGCAGTAACACAAACAGGAGTATGTTGGGAGGAGCTATTTTGGTGAGAGAGGTGATGTAATCGTAGCGTCGTCTGCTGGCTGCTGTGTGATTTCTCATGCAGTCTATGGTGGCCACTGTAAAGTTTGGACACAATACCGGCTTACTTGCATAGTTCTGGTGAATAAAACATGTAGATAGGTATACATAACATGTGTAATACAAACAATAACAGTATGATGGGAGGAGCAATGTTGGCGAGTAAGATGTTGGAGGAATGAGGGAGAGACTGGATATTGGAGGAGTGAGGATGTGGCAGCTGACACTCGCGGAGTTCTGAGTGTTCATGGTGAATGTATATAGTGTGTGAAAGTGTATAGTGTGTAAATAGACTATATATATATATACATAAATTAGCATAATACAATGGAAATATGTGCCGGATATGTGTACACGTGTCATCACGTAACACAGTGTCTTCAGACAGTACGGATGTTCTACTGCCATAATATAGTGTACTTGTTCATTATACATAGGATTGGCAGGTAAAAGCATATAAAATGTATTTGGAACTGTGCGCAGAAAATGAACAAAAATATATTCGTGGCAACTCTCGCATCCTGCCCCGAGTGCCCTACCCGCCCCGGGGGCGTATGCCACGGGCGACCAGGGAATGACGACGTCACATATGAACTTACGGATCCCATAGCAGCTAAAGTACTTACAATGGGGGGGGGGCGGGGGCATGTCATATTTGCAGGCCGCGCAGTTAAGGGGCTAACACAATTGTTAGGTGAGAAATCAGTTGAACATGCCCTAATGTGCAGCTACAAAATTCCTACATCCCAAGACAAGAGTTTAGAGGATTGTGAAGTGTAACTTTGCAACTTAGGAGTGAACCAACTACAGTGAACTGCTGGCACTAGACCGGAGGATGGAAGAATACACCCAGATTTATTAACAATGCACACGTCAACCTATATGATATTGAGATACTACATATGGATCATGTGATCATTCACGTTAAGGCCAGCATTGGTTGGGTGTCTGCTCCAATAAGCTTGTCCTTGGCTGGAGGATCTTGATAAGTCAAACAGGTTTCCTGTCTCCAAAAATAATACACATACCATCTCGTATATTTAATTCAATTTAACGACCTATATGAGGCTATATCCTGCTCCCTAAATCAGGGTGGTTGCTAGATCCAGTGGGTAGCAGAAGAAACAAAAGAGATCATCATGAAACAGATTAGTGATAAAAACCCTTATGTAATGGTGATCACTGCATGCCTAATCAAGATGAACAACCAACACTAAAACTCTCACTGGCAATGGCAGACCAAGCCAAGGAAGCAGTGAAAAGGCATTTCAAATGTTTCGGCATCATCTCTACTCCACACCGGATCTCCATGGAGAGGCATTATTAGCTCAAGCATTGCTTCAAGTGCTTTTAGGTATGACTACTTTGTAAACAAGTGCTCAGAACAAGAAGCA